AAAAAAAAAAAAAAAACCATCCTTTTCCCCAGCTTACATTCCATTCTTGAGCCCAACCGAACCGGCTTCTATTGATTTCCGTTTCTCGGCGGTTCCTCGGAGAAGGGAAATTGGGTGGGAGCCGCTAGTTCATGCAGCGGCAGAGCCTACGCAAGGCGGTGCCGTTCCTCCTTGTCCTTAGTGTCCGCGAGTCGCCCCTGAGGGTGTGGATTATCGGTTACGGTCTGCTATGTGTCCGCCACTCCACGTGTGTCTGCGTCTATGCCAAGTACCGCAGGCAGAGGAGGGGAGCGGTGGGAGTTTGAGTTGGGTGTCGGGGAGAGTTCTGGGTTGTATGTGCTCAGATGGACGACGAGAGTTATAGGTAAGTTCCGGGGTGAAAAGTTTAATTCTTTTTGTTAATATTGACATTTGCATATTGAATTATGAAATATGATTGTCTATATATTTCTCCAAGATTAATGCTTTTTGTTATGGATTAAGCATTAATTCCTGAACTTTATTTGTGACATTCAGATTCCTTAAGCCTAGAAAAATGTCTCACTTTGCAACTGCTGTTGCATTTGTGAGGAATTACGTTCGGGGTAAAGTAAAATAAACTTTATAGCTGGGAGAAATTTTAGAAATTAGCCCCTTTGTTGATGGAAGAAAAAAAGAAAATCCTTTGTTGGGGTGAGAGCAGCTCTAGGCATATTGGAAAGAAAGTGATCCACGTCATCATGAAAAAAAGTTTCATGATACGTCCTGAACTTTTAGGATAATTAAATTGGAATAGAACAATAATTTACCCTTATAAAACTATAGAATATTGTTGAAAGATACGATTGCAAAGCGTGTATATCATTCTGGAAAATGGATGAGAGTGCCGATGGGATACTGAAGTTAATAGTTACTAATGCGGTCTACAGAATTGGGGCAACCGTAAACCATATGTGTGATATGGTTTGACACCCCTTCGTTTTAAGGAAGGGCATCTGAGTATGCTCACAATGTGCGACATACTACGTTTCTCATTTGTGGTTTGTGTTCGATTTTCCCAATTACCTTTGTTGGCTGTCTACAACTGCACTATTTATACCGTACAGATGTAGACGAGGTTAGTTTCTTTGACGTGGTAATTTCCAAAACTCAGAATGTGATCACAATTCCTCAATATGACAATTCCTCTTTTTTTCTGGTTGATGGTGATATTAATAACTGTGTTTGATTTTCTAGTTTTTAGGTCCATTTCATATTTTGATCCATTGTTCCTTGGGAACATGTACCATATTGCTAAAAAAATCATTGTAACTGTTACTTATTAGTTCCATTTGATACTTATGATCCAATTGTCTTAGATACACCATATGAGATTGCTCAAAAATCATTTAGCCAGTATTTTTGCTTTCTCCTCTCAGCAGTGTAGCAAAGCACCTGGAATCTGCAAATACAATGTTTTCGTTTGCATGGTGGGTCCTCCGGTTCTACTGGGTATTTACCGGTGGTCAAGCTTGTGCAATCCTCCCATCAGCTTTAGTGGTTTGTGCTTTCTCTCTCTATGTCTATCTCTCTGAAATTAAACTATTAAACTGCAATAAATCTTAACTTGGGGTATGCTGTTGGCACTGCAGGCTTTGTATTCTTTTCCTTGGATTTGATGTGCTCTTTGTTGTTTTCTGCGTTGCATGGGTTTGATCATTGGGATAGCTATTTGCGCTGCCTTCCATGTATTATTGCACTTCTATTTGCAGTGGCGGACCATGTAGTTTTATAATTCATGTCCGCAGAATGAGTCGTTGAACACAAACAAAATGTTCCTGACATCTGTTAGTGATTGGTCGTTAGTGTTAAAATTGAAATCTGAAACTAGATCTTTTATGCGTGTATTGAAAATTATTTTGTTGCCATAGTTTATTGGTTCCAGTTTCGGTGGTCTTTTGGAACAAATGGTAACATCAAGTATTAGCATTCTGAGAATCTTGTTTAGAAGTCTTGGTGTCGTATGTTGGATTTACCAATCATTCACTTGATTTAGAGCTCAATTTGAACTTGCCTCATCAGACTGAGTTGAGAAATCAATAGTCATGTTCAGAACGTCTATATAATAGATGACCGTCTTAGAGTTTCAATCAAATTGGCGACACACTTGTCTTTCCACAGGTTTGTTTTGATTAGGAATAAGCAAGATGGATATAACGTGTAAAGTTGTTTGTTTTATGGAGCATTCGACATTCATCCTTTTGGAGAAAAACAGTTTCTGCATATGTTGCCTTATTTTTATCTACTTTTTGAGTTTATGAAGAACGGGCTTTTGCATGTAGCTTTAGTCTTGTTTCGTTGCACTTCTTTTGGCATCCTTCAATTATGTTATATGATCTGTTGTTAAAGCAGGAAGGAGCATCAAAAAGAAAACATTGAGCAGTTGTGAATATTCAAGATCAGCACAATGGGGAGAAATGAGAAGCTTGCCTGTGATGCACAAGGACCTTGTGAAGGAGTGATGACCGAATGTGGACCATTGAGCATGTTCTCTCCCAGGAAGATGCGGTATGTAGACCTATTTTTCTTTTGTTTAACTTTGGCTTTTATACATGATCAGTTTGCTTACTGATTGTTTAGCGGGTTAAGAAATGCATATCTAAATTTCATTCTGATGGCAAATTTGTCAGAGTGTTGCATCTGTCTTACTGCTTAAGAAGATGGCCTGGAACAGAGGCAACTTCCCAGTGGTCGCCATTTTCATTGTTCTTGCATCGGTAAGTGGCTTTCCATCAATGCTGCATATCCTGCATGTCCTCTCTGATAGCACTAAATGTCTCGGTTCTACAATCTGAATGTCATAGAGCAATTT